TTTTTTTTTTTTTTTTTTTGGAGGAGAGTATCGATTTCACTTTTAGCTCGTAAAACTAAACTAATCTATGCGAAGGACGGTTATCCGTTCGTTCGTCGGTCGCGATTTCTCGTCTCGTTGAAACAGAGTACGTACAGGTGATGATTTTATTCCATTTACGGGTGTTGCTTTTTTTAAGAACTTGTTTACCGATATGCCAATGTCTCGACCGAAATAGAATCGCGCGCGACGCATATGTATTCGTCAAGCAATTTTATGTATAGCCGCGATACGTACGTAAAGTTCTTTCGAGTCGATTGATTTTACCTGTCGATGAATCATCGTTTGTCACGATCGGAGTATGTGTGTATATAGTTTATACACCTTTTATCGACTCCAGTTCCGATAGTTGACAAAGGATGTGAAATATACAACCACATACACCGAACTCCTGTGTTTATTCTTTCGGTGCTAATAGAATCGCGAACTCTTCTCGCGATATCGCGATTGTCAAGTCCATTAGTACGGTTTATCTATGTTTCAATCAATAATTCTATGACTGGACAGCGAAAGGCAACAAGAAACAAGTTCTGAAACGAAAGCTTGCACATACGACTTAAAGTGATTCTCTTTTTGCGCGTTGGAAATCTGTTCGTTTCCATCAATGTGCAAGGAACGTTGAAGGAACGCGATTTCGCGAGTCCTTCTATTCCACGAGATTGAGGGAAACGAACGGAGGCCGACTGGTTTTTCCAAGCAGAACGAATCGGCTCCAAATTCGTATCGAAAACTTTCGTTCTTCCACCACGCTCTCGTCCCTTTCTCTGCATCTATAAATTTGTTATCGTGTAATTGCATACCTGAGCAGCACGGTCGCTGTCTCGGGAACACGGAACACCTGAAAAAGAAGACAACCAGCGCTCTATCGAATCCACATCGAAGGGTGATAACCCCAAAATCAGTTCGCTTGTTCTTTTCTTTCTTTTCTTTTTTTTTTCTTTTTTTCCCCTTTTCTCACAACTATTCATTCTAATGGATCACGAACCAAGTGTCATTATGTGGGCAAACGATCTCGACAAGGTAGGAAATCTTTATTCAACAAATATATTAGAAAATAAAGGACTTACGCACGTAAAAATAATACGCACACTTTAACGATACTTTCGCACGTAAGTATAATTCTATGGGTTTAATCAAGCTGAATGGCCAACATTTTGGAAGAAAATCTTACAAAGATAGAATCCAAATAAATCTGGATTCCAGGAGATTAAATATATTTAATCTAAGACTTAATGAAACTTGAAACTTGAAGGAATTTCGTAATAGTTTGGTTATGATGTATTCTAGTCAAGTATCCATTTGAATATCCTGAATATCCTATTATACGTTTCTAATTAATCAGAGACTACTGAACTGTTTGGGGCGTCTTATTCAAACAGAAATCATCAGTCAAAGAGATA